TCCATTTGACTCTATTTGTTTGTGGTTAGCAGAGTTACTGTGTTTGGTTCTAGTGCCAACCTTTGTTCATAACTGTGAAACTTCATAAATTAAGAATGCATGAAGAGAGGCAAGATAGTGTAGTAGTGGTTAGCAGCATCACCTTGAACACTTTGAGATTTAATATCTTGGAATGTAAGTTACGAGTCTCTGTACTTACCCCATGTTATGATTTAGATCTGATGTGTTCCTGAAAAGTTTTACTTTCTATAAAACAGGGCCTATTAAAAGGAAAGGTCACTGGGGACAAGCCTGGGAAGTGTTTTCTCCCTTCCCTTTCTGCTTCCAGAGGCCTGTCCGGTGGCCGTTCTGCTAGGCCATTTCAGTAGAGATGACATGGACTGACTCTGCTGGAACTGTGACCACACAAACCTCACTTCCTTTAAGTTGTGGTTGTGGGGTAATTTGTCGTACAGATGAAAGAGGACTAGTACACCTTATGTTAAAGAAAATGACCTTTAAAGTTTCATTAAACTTGACTTTGGTAATCTCATCACTTATAGGCAAAGCATTTGTTGCCCATTTTGACATATGGCTATGTCAAAAAATCAGCTAATTATTATGAATTTCTAAGAGTTTAGGGCATGATTATTATACTCAAATATGGGGGGGTGTGTTATTCTTTGGAGAACTTGATGGCCCCGAAGCTTACTGAATTAAGTAAGTTTGTAACATCATGTCCATGACACATGAATTTTAAAAGTTGAATTATTGAGGTGTTTCTGTACAATAGAATATATCCATTTAAAGTATGGAGAGTATGATTTTAAGAGCGTAGCCACTATATGTATGTGTGAAGTCATCACAGTCCAGAAGCAGAGCATTTCTTTTTTATGTGTGAGTAACTCCTTCTGTAGTGTGATTACCAATCATTTTTCCTTCTAGATTTTCCAGAAGATGTGTGCACTGTTATCAGAGAGCTTAGTAGTGTGGAAGTGATTGCACTTCAAGGTGTAAGTTTTTCTTTTGCCCATGAGGCAAAGTGAAATGAAGTTTCTAATCAGCTTACAGTGGAGTCTCCAGAGAAAATGACTTTGATCTGTTTTTCTCTTTTTATTTTAAAAACAGTGGCTATTTGGAAATACTCAAATTTTACTGCTTTGGATTCACTAGTATTAATTGACGTCTCTGTATGGATGGAATTTTACCTTAAAAATTATTTGGTTTTCTGATTTTTTTGGTTGTTTTTAGATTTTCAATATGATGTAAGTAAATATTTTGTTGTCCATCATAGGGTACTGCGATTAATTTATACAGGTTATAAGTCAAAGGTAACTTTTGAAAATTTATGCCTTTTCTGCCTCCCCTTTCCCTCTCCTTTTACCTCCCCTTTCTCCTTCCCTTCTCCTCCCCTCCCCTTCCCTCTTTCTTTCCCTCCTCCCAGTGTCTCCCCATGCTCTGAAGTACTGGAGACTGAGCACTATGGCCTTGCTTTGAACTACATCTCCAGCCCTTTTCTTGCCTTTGTTCTGAGACAGAATCTCGATAAACTGCTACATTGTCTAGCCTTTGCCTAAATGTACCATCCTGTTTCAGCCTCCCAGAATGCTGAGACATGTGGTATTATGCCCTACTTCAGTTTATACATTGGAGTGGGAAAATCACACCTGATTTTACGAGACCATGTATATGAATGAAGACAGAGTACCATTAGTATGAGCGGTGCATGTATGAGGGTGTTTTAAAATGATCAAAGGGGAAGCAGTTAAACACTTCATACAAACGAATTCAGTTTGAACAG